GTCCTACTTAGGTGACAACGCCATGTAAGAGGTAAAATCTTTGTAAGATCTATAGAAGCAGGAAGGTTACATTTAAATATTAAGATATATAGATATACTACTTCTAGATTTATTACATACTACATTTGGTGTTAAGGTAATGTAAGATCTATAGAAGAAGGAAGGTTACATTTAAATATTAAGATATATAGATATACTACTTCTAGGTTTATTACATACTACATTTGGTGATAACGCCATGTAAGATATATAGAAGAGGGAAGGTTACATTAAAATACTAAGTTATATAGATATACTACTTCTAGGTTTATTACATACTACATTTGGTGATAACGCCATGTAAGATATATAGAAGAGGGAAGGTTACATTAAAATACTAAGTTATATAGATATACTACTTCTAGATTTATTACATACTACGTTTGGTGTTAACGCTATGTAAGATATATAGAAGAGGGAAGGTTACATTAAAATACTAAGTTATATAGATATACTACTTCTAGGTTTATTACATACTACGTTTGGTGATAACGCCATGTAAGATATATAGAAGAGGGAAGGTTACATTTAAATATTAAGATATATAGATATACTACTTCTAGGTTTATTACATACTACGTTTGGTGATAACGCCATGTAAGATATATAGAAGAAGGAAGGTTACATTAAAATATTAAGATATATAGATATACTACTTCTAGGTTTATTACATACTACGTTTGGTGATAACGCCATGTAAGATATATAGAAGAAGGAAGGTTACATTTAAATACTAAGATATATAGATATACTACTTCTAGGTTTATTACATACTACGTTTGGTGATAACGCCATGTAAGATATATAGAAGAAGGAAGGTTACATTTAAATACTAAGATATATAGATATACTACTTCTAGATTTATAAAACATCTTTAATTCCACTCAAGTTAGATGATCCATGAAATAATTAATATAAATAATAACACTGATAACTAATCTATATTAATTAGAGTTTAACCTCAAAATTACAACAAAATAATCATCTTTTAAACCAACCAATTGAACAATGTTCTTAGAATTATTTCAGACAGCCTTTGATATAATTAAACTAAACTGAGCTCTTTGGTAAATTATCTACTTCTTAACCCCAAATTACAGCAATTCTTTCACCAACTCCATAAGACAAGAGTTCTGGGTAACAACATGTTTCAGG